AATCCAGTCATTAGTTCTAATAGTTTTTGGTGGAGCCTTTAGGGTTTTCTGTGTATATAACATTATGCCATCTGAAAACAGTGACAGTTTTACTTCTTCCTTGCCAGTTTGGATGCCATTTATCTCTTCATCTTGCCTGATTGCCATGGCTAGGACTTCCAGTACTATGTTGAATAAAAGTGAAGTGAATGGGCATCATTGTCTTTTTCCTGGTCTTAGAGGAAAAGCTTTCAGCTTTTTGCCATTGAGAATGATGTTAGCTCTAGGTTTGTCATATATGGCCTTTATTATGCTGAGGTACATTCCCTCTATACCCATTTTGTTGAGAGTTTTTATCGTAAGTGGATGTTGAATTTTGTCAAGTGCCTTTTCAGCAGCTATTGAGATGATCATGTGGTTTTTATCCTTCCTTTGGTTAATGTGGTGTGTCACATTGATTGACTAATGAGTATTATTGCCATCCTTCCGTCCCTGGAATAAATCCCATGTGGTTGTGATGGATGGTCCTTTTGATGTATTTTTGAATTCAGTTGCTAATTCTTGAGGATTTTTGCATTTATATTCATCAGGTATATTGGTCCATAATTTTCTTTTTTGTAGTGTGTTTGGTTTTGGTATCAGAGTGATGCTCGCCTCACAGAATGAGTTTGGAAGTATTCCCTCTTCTTCTACATTTTGGAATACTTCAACTACATTTTGGAATAGCTCCTCTTAAATGTTTGGTAAAATTAGCTATGAAGCCATCCAGTTCCGGCTTTTGTTTGTTGGAGTTTTTGATTACCAATTCGATTTTGTTACTGGTAATTGGTCTGTTCAGGTTTTCTGTTTCTTCCTGGGTCAGTGTTGGAAGCTTGTACTTTTCTAGGAATTTTTCCATTTCTTCTAGGTTGCCCAATTTATTGGCATATAATTTTTCATTGAATTCTCTAATAATTCTTTGTATTTCTGTGGTGTCAGGCCTGATTATTCCTTTTTTGTTTCTGATTTTGTTTATTGTGCCCTCTAGCTTTTTATTTGCTTAGATGAGTCTGCCTGGGGGTCTGATGTTTTGTTTATCTTCTCAAAGAACCAGCTCTTGGTTTTGTTATTTTTTTTATTGTTTTTCTCTCTATTTAATTACTTCTGCTATGATCTTATTATGTCTCTCCTTCTATTAACCTTGGGTTTCATTTGTTCTTCTTTTTGTAGTTTCTTTAGTTGTGAGTTTAGGCTGTTTATTTGAGATTGTTCTTGTTTCTTGAGTTAGGCCTGTACTGATGTGTTCTCAGTGGTTCCCTCTTAGAACTTCCTTTGTGGCATCCTACAAAATTTGAACTGTTGTGTTTTTGTTTTAATTTGTCTCCACATATTGTTTGGTTTCTACTTTGATTTGTTCATTGATTCATTGATTATTTAGAAGCATGTTGTTTAGCTTCCATGTGTTTGGGGTTCCTTTGTTATCTTCATGTGCTTTATTTCTGGTTTCATTCCATTGCGGTGTAAGAAGTTGCTTAATACAATTTCAGTCTTTTTGAAATTATGGGGCTCTCTTTGTGGCCTAGGATGTGACCTATTCTGGCAAACATTCCCTGTGCACTTGAGAAAAATGTGTATCCTGCTGCTTTTGGGTGGAACATTCTGTATATATCTGTTAAGTCCATCTGGTCTAATGTGTCATTCAGTGCCTCTGGTTCCTTATTTTCTGTCTAGATGATCTGTCCATTGGTGTAAGTGGTGTATTAAGCTTTCCTAAATATGATTGAGCTGCTGCCTATTTCTCCCTTAGTTCTGTTACTATCTGTTTTACATATCTAGGTGCTCCCAAGTTGGGTGCATAGATATTTATAATTGTTATATTATCCTCTTGTTGGACTGATTCCTTTATCATTATGTCATGTCCTCCTTTGTCTCTTGTTACTTTCTTTGTTTTGAAGTCTGTTTTGTCTGCTATAAGTACTGCTACTCCTGCTTATTTCTCCCTATTATTTGCATGAAGTATCTTTTTCTATCCATTCATTTTCAGTCTGTGTCTGTCGTTGGGTCTGAAATGAGTCTCTTCTAGGCAGCATATAGATGGATCTCCTTGATCAGTTCTGCTACCCTGTGTCTTTTGATTGGTACATTCAATCCATTTACATGTAAGGTAGTTATTGATAGATGTATACTTATTGCCAATTTATTTTCAGTTTTCTGGTTGTTTTTGTAGTTCTTCTCTATTCCTTTCTTCCTCTCTTATACTCTTGTGCTTTGATGGTTCTCTTTAGTATTGTGATTGGATTGCTTTTTCTTAATTTTTGTGTATCTATTATAGCTTTAGGTTTGTGGTTACTATAAGGTTCATGAATAGTTTCCTGGATATAGAGTAGTCTATATTATCTTGATGGTCACTCTATTTCAAACACAATCTGAAAGTATGTTTTTTCTTCTTCTTCTTCTTTCTCCACACTTTATGTATTAGATGTCATAATCTGAATTTTTTTGTGTATCCCTTGACTGATTTGGTGTATAGTTGTTTTACTATTTTTGTTTAATTTCATACTTGCTTGGTATGTAATTGGTCTACTACCTTTACTGTGTGTTTACTTTCACTGGTGAAATCTATTTAGGCTTAAGAACAGTTCCATCTGCAGAAGTTCCGTTAACATATCCTGTAAGGCTGGCTTAGTGGTGGTGAATTCCTTTAACTTTCATTTATCTGGGAAACTTTTAATCTCACCTTTAATTCTGAAATGATATCCTTGTTGAGGAGAGGATTCCTGGTTGAAAATCCTTTTGTTTCAATACATTAAGTATTTCATGCCACTCCCTTCTGGTCTGTAAAGTTTCTGCTGAGAAGTCTGCTGAGACCTCGATGGAGTTTCCCTTAAAAGTAATTTTTTTACCTCTTTCGAGCTGCTTTCAACACCCTCTCTTTATCCTTAATCTTTGTCATTTTAATTGTTAGGCCTTCGTGTTGTCTTCCTTGGGTTCCTTTTGTTAGGGGCTTTCTGTACTTCCAGGATCTGGGTGTCTATGTCCCTCCCCAGGTTGGGGAAGTTTTCAGCAACTATTTCTTCAAAGGGACTTTCTACTCCTTTGTCTCTCTCTTCTCCTTCTGGGACCCTATTATGCAAAATATTTTTTCATTTGGAGCTGTTATATAGCTCTCTTAACATCCTCTTGTTTCTAGAGATTCTTTTTTCTCTCTGTTCCTCGGCTGCATTGTTTTCCTATTTTCTGATTTCCATCTCTTTGTCTCCTCTACTTACAGCAATCTATTAATCATTCCCTCCATTGTATTTTTCATTTCAGTTAACTGTATTATTCAGTTCTGAGTGGCCCTTTTTCAACTCTACTGTCTCTTGTTGAAGTCCTCCCTGAGATCATCAACACTTTTCTGAAGATCAGTGAGCATATTTATGACTGTTACTTTGAAATCTTTATCAAGAAGATTGGTGATCTCTGTTTCATTTAGCCCTCTTTCTGGTGTCTTACCCTGTACTTTTGTTTGGAACATGTTCCTCTGCCTCCTTTGTCTGTGTTTCTGTGTTTCTTTGTATTAGATACATCTGTTATGCTCCTGAATTAGAGAGCAATGGCTTTATGAAGAAGGTGTCCCGTGGGGCCCAGAAGCTCGATTCTTTACTCACCAGTGCCTGGTTCTCCTTTGAGGTGGAGCTCTACTTGCTGTTGGTGGGCTATGGGTGGAGCTGCCTTTCTGCTGTCAGCAGTGGCTGATCTCTGTCAGCAGAGGCCCTTTGTGAGCCAAGCAGTGGCACTAGTGCTAGGATCATTGTGGGTGGGGCCTGCCCTTTACCTGCCCTGTAGCTATGGAGGTGCTGCTGGGCTGTCTGGGTAGGATGGGCAGGTGTGCAGTAGAGCATGGCATGGGGCTGGACCACCAGCAAGGAGGACTGAGCATTTGGAGTTGGCTCCCTCTGCCTGAAAAGGCAGCAAAGTCTGACTGCTGCTTCACCAAGGGTGCTGGATGGACTGGTGGGTGTGCAGGGAAGCATCTCAGGACTGAGCCACCAGCAAGGAGGATGGAGCATCTGGGGCTTCCACAAGCACCTGACCAGTTGGGGTGAGGGAGGGCTGGGGAAGCTTGGTCCACCTGCCCTTTCTCCTCCAGAGAGAGCTCTATCTAATGCTCGTCTCTCTGGCATCCTTCCCACTGCTGATAAATCTTTCAAACTGCCACCTCTGTGGTGGGTCTCAGTGGGATCACCTGAGCATGCCTGTCCTCCACAAGCAGCTGGAGTCTCAGCCTCTCAGAGTGCTGTGACTTTCCCTGGCATCCAGTCCCATTAACCACCAAAGCCTAGTGCAATGTGGACTCGTGTTCCCAGAGCAGATCTCCAGGGCCAGGTGTGGAGAGTTCCTGAGCACTTATCCGCTTCCCACTCTGTTCCTCTCCCTCCTACTCATCAGCTGATATGGGGAAAGGGCTTGGGTCCCGATCGATCACAGCTCTGACACTTCACCCTTCTCTGTGAGGTCTTCTCTTCTCCCCCAGGTGTAGATGGCCTGTTTAGCCATCTTCAGGTCATCTTCAGGGTTAGTTGTATTTGCTTTAGGTGCTTCCTTGGTGTGTGGAGGGGAGGGGTTTCTGTCTTGCCGTCTTTTCCGCCATCCCTGGCATAGTTTTTCTTATAAAGGGCAGGAGAGTAAATATTTCAGTTTTGTGGGCCATACAGTGTCTGTCACATCTGCTCAACTCTGCTTTCACGAAGTGAAAGCAGCCATTGACTATATGTATACAAATGAGCATGGCTGTGTTCCAATGCAACTTTATTTATAAAAATTGGTGGTGGGCTCTCATTTGGACATCCTTGTTGTAGAAGACAAAACTAGGAGCACAGGGAGTCAAAGAGAAACATATTTTTAACAAAAATTTTATTATGAAAAATGTTAAACATTTGCAAAAATAAAGTAGTTCAATAAAGTTCCCCAATATTTATCACCCATGTTTAACAATTATCAACATTTCACCACATTCATTTCATCTGTTTTTTTTTCCTTTAGCTGAAGTATTTTAAATGTGTAACTTAATGTTATTGTGTTCCTCCCTGTTTTACTCTATAGTTCTAGACGGTGAGGGCTTCTTTTATGACTGCAGTGTTATTATTTCTCACACCCAAAGAAATGTATGAATTCTTGGTATTTAAACCGTAATCAAATTTCCTTACTTGCTTCAAAAATATCTTTTTATACTTGGTTTATTTGAACCAGTATCTAAACTAGGTCCACACATGGCATTTGGATGGTTGGTCTCCTGTGTCTGTTAGGTTATTACTGTTCCAAATGGGAGCAGAAGGAATGGGCTAGGAATGGCAAGCTCCAGCTGCATGAGGGGTGAGTGCCCTGTCACTGAAAGTACTGCTAGACACCTTAACCAAATCAAATGCAATATGTAGACCTTTGTTGGATATTGATTTTTAAAAAATGAGGTGTAAAATTACATTTTAGGAGACAATCTAGGAATATTGAACATGACTTGGATATTAGCTAATATTAAAGAGTTAATGTTAATTTTGTTGGGTGTAATTTCTTGAGTCTTTTGGTTATGTTAAAAAGTGCCCTTATCTCTGGGTAGTATACACTGAAGTATTTTGGAATGAAATGATATGATGTTCAGAATGAGCTTAAGTTATTGAGAAAAAAAAGTGGAGAATAGCTGAATGAAACAACAGTAGAAAAATGTCAGTAATTTAAGCTGAGTTATGGGTACACGGTTGTTGATTTATCTAGTCTGTCTACTTTTGAGTATGTTTGAAAATTTGCATAATAATTTCCATAATATAAAGCCTTTTAAAAAGAGTAATAAATAAAAAAGGGGGAAATTCTTATGAATCTTGTTTCCATATTAGGAAGAATTTGACTAGATAATATCTAAGGATTTCAAAAAAACATAACCTTAAGGTAGATTGCAGAAAACTGTCACTATTTGATGGAATCTCTTTGGAACACTAATAATTTCCTACCTGCCTTTTTTTTTTTTTTTACCTACCTTTGCCTAGAATCAGCTGCAGGCTCGCTCCCCACGTCTGACCTGTGACGGTGCCCCAGCCAGAGACCAGGGCACACTGAGCACCTGCTGTAGCATCAACTACCTCATTTTCCACCAGGGTGATCAGGTCAGCCTTGCTTCTGCCCACCCCCTATGCCCTGTCCCCAACCTGACTCACTCCTCAGTGATCTCTCTGATCCCTTCCTCTTTCTCAGATCATCTTTACAGCCACCTTTGATGTCTCTTCAAAGGCTAATCTGGGAGACCGGCTGCATCTGATGGCCAATGTGAGCAGGTGAGCTGGACCAGACTGGGGGCAACATCTCTATGCCCCCAGCCTCCTCCAACTGGGCTCTTCCTCTTTCCCCAGTGAGAATAACACTCCCAGGACCAGCAAGACTACCTTCCAACTAGAGCTCCCGGTGAAGTATGCTGTCTACACTGTGATCAGCAGGTGCTACACCACAACCTCAAAAGGGTTTCACTCCTTGTAGCAGCTGAACAACTGGGCAATTTAGGTTTTATCACCTATCTTTCAATTGGTAGATGATATTGTTAGCAGCACTTACTAATCCATCATTGAATGTTTATTTTGGGCTAGCTGAGGTAACAATTGTGATATTATTACCATTACATCATACATTTAATAAAGGTTACAGTTCTCAGAAGGCTTTCTCAAAAGCACCAAGATTCTCCTGGGTTCCCTAAGAAATACTGAGATATGTCTGTCTTAATGGTCTTACAGCCTTACTGGGGAGGGAGGTTACCCCAATCCAAGGCAGAATCTCATCAAGGGCCTTTCTGTGGTTCTGTACCCTGAGGCTATGTGAATTTCTGAAAGTGACTAGGGCCTTCTGTCAAGCTAAAATGTATAAGCTCATCAGCTAAATGTATAAAGTCCAACAGTGATTCTCAAAGGGCCTTTAGCCTTTGGGTGAGACAGCTGTTCTTTGTAAGGAACAGATTTACACCTTACTCTTAGAACCACTACCTCTACAGGGCTTGTAGAACCACTTCTCCTTTTCCTAGTCCCCTTTGGGAAGGATAAGTCCTGTAGTATAGGGACCTGTTTGCTGCAGAGGCTGGGTGTCAGAAATACTGGAAAAAAGGAAAAGGCCTTAAAATGCTGCTATGGAGGAACAGAGGAGGTGTTTGAAATTCAGTTAAGTCAAGTGTTTGAGTAGATATTTTCTTTCAACAAATATCTTCCTAGCATTTGTTTTGTTCCAGACACCTAACTGTGGATGCTTTCCATAAATTCACTTGATACTCAAAGGTTAATTGAGCCTCTATTATGTCTAATCAAAACCCTTGTGTCTGCTGGGTATGTGAACTCGTGATGTATGGCGGGCCTGTGAGGCTTAGCTTGGGTACATTCCCCTGCCAGTTTCACCTACTTGCTTCATTGGATGTCTTCTTCATGCCCAGAGTTTCACACTCTCCTTCATACCTGCCCCTTGGGTGCTCCCAGCAGGCTGGTCAGGTACATGCTCTAAGCTCTCTTGCTGGAGTGTTCACTGGTGTCACTCCTCCTTACAGAGAACCAATGGCCAGGGCATACCATATCTACGCATTTGTGGTCCCCCACGGAGCTGTGCTAATCAAATGTGACTCTTTGGGTGGGGGTACTCAGAGCAGACCCCAGGGCATTTTGGTGGAGCCTCTTGCAGAGGAGGGATAAGACTTCAGAGTAGAAGTGGTGTTCTAGAATTTGGATTGTGCAGGCAAAGGACAGGTACACATGGAGTGGAGCAGGGAGGGGAAGGCTGGCCACTGGGTGTCCAGGTATAGGCCTAGGCAGGCCTCAGGAGGCCTTGTTACACTGAGACCCAGTGAAGAGTCTGCTGTTGGACCCTCCTTCACTTCAAAGCCCTAGGCCCAGAAAAACCAAGGACATAGAAGGGAATGGCACAAGGAAAGGCCTGTGAGAAGTCAGACAGCAGCCGTGTCCAGTAGACATTCAGCAACAGCCTGAGTCTCCCCAAACCTTTGCCTGTCCTATGTGCCCATCCAGCATCCTCCGTGCCCATGAAGGCTTGAAAGGAAAACTGAGGCACAGAGAGGGACAGGCCCTGGCCCCTGCTCACCCAAAGAGTCAGCGGCAGAGCTCTCAGTCTCCAGTCCAGCATTCTTGGAAGTTTCCTCTGTGGGCAGCTTCTATAAATACCTTACATCCAGCTTGATGCCCAGCCCTGCTCTCTAAATCCTCTTATTACCCCAAGTTAGCTACATATCTCATTCCAGGCCACCCCGAGTCCCCACTGACCACTTATTCTGTCATGCTTCCAGCCAGAGCCTTCTCAAGAGGCCCCTGTGGAATTTCAAATCTACCCATGCCTCTTTTCTCCCCAGCCATGAACAATCCACCAGGTACCTCAACTTCTCAGACTCAGAGGGAGAAGAAAGCAGCATGGCCCAGCATAGATACCAGGCAAATGATGGGGACTCAAGAGCATGGGCTGGGGATGGCAGGGCCCAGGAACCAGAGATTGGGATGAGGGATGTGGGGTTTTGTGTGGTCTTTGCTTTCACTGCCCTGTGTACAGGTGAACAACCTGGGACAGAGGGTCCTGCCTGTCAGCATCTACTTCTCAGTGCCTGTGGAGCTGAACCAGGTGGCTGTGTGGAAGGAGATAGAGGTCTTTCACCCCCAGGTATGCAAGTACAGTGTAATGCCCTTTACGTGGATTCCCTGGGTCTCTCTTGAATCTTTGATGGTTCCCCTGAGATGCTTGCTCTCTGTTTTTTCCTAGAACCCATCAATTCAGTGCTCTTCAGGGAAAATATCACCCACAGAGACCAACTTCCTGACTCACTTTCAGAAGAATCCTGTGCTGGTGAGAAGGGCTCTGGCCTCTCTCCCACTTTAAGGCACATATTAGAGGAATTTAGTTCAGGAATCCGTTTTAACATTCTGATGGTCATCTGCTGAACAGTCCTCTTGAATTCAGATGTGTCTTCTCCCCTCATATCAGACTGTTCAATTCTGTCTTCTACCTTCAAACCCGTCTTTCTCTGGCCTGATGCTACTACTTCTCTGTCCCTAGGACTGCTCTATTGCTGACTGCCTGAGGTTCCGCTGTGACATCCCCTCCTTTGGTATCCAGGAGGAAATTGACTTCATCCTGAAGGGCAATCTCAGCTTCAGCTGGGTCAGCCAGGTGTGTAGACCTAACAGCTGAGTCCCTCCCCTGGATTCAGATCATACCTGATGTGTCTGAGCCCATCCTCAAGCCAGGATATTTCTTGAATTCTGAGCCTTTCCCAGAGCTGGTTCCCCAGCTCTCACCCTTTCTTTTGCAGACATTGAAGAAGAAGATATTGGTCATGAGTGAAGCTGAAATCACATTCAACAAATCTGAGTTTTCCCAGCTTCCAGGACAGGAGACATTTTTGAGAACCAAGGTAGTGACTGTGTAGTAGGCAGTGGCCAGGCTGGCCACAGGGTTCCTGGTACTAAAACTGTGATGCTGGGTGGGGGGCTTGTAAGTCTTGAGGGAGGAGGAATGTAGGTCTCTGGGTAGGACAGTTGTCCCTAAAAGCCTGTGAGTATCTTCTGTATCTCTCATCCCTTCAAATAAGGCCTGTAGTTAAAGGTTGGGCATTTGGGAAGATACAACAAGAGGCCAGATGCTTTCTGATGGGGTCATCTCCACTCTAGATGGAGATAGTGCTGGAGAAGTATGAGGTCTACAACCCTGTTCCTGTTATTGTGGGCAGCTCTGTGGGAGGACTGCTGTTGCTGGCTCTCATCACAGCCATCCTGTACAAGGTGAGTGTTCTCATCCTGCTCTTGGCATCACCAGCATTGATCCTACTTTTTCTACAGTGTAAGAAAGAGGTCACCTTGGAGACAGGTAAACATTCTTGCTAAGTCACTGCATGTGAGAGATCCCCTCTCACCTATGACATCACTACTCCCCAACTGTCTCCCATGTTTGTGCCTTCCTATCTTATTCTCAAACCTCTTCTACTCTGTCCTCCTTTCTTTTCCACTTTTTTCTGCCTTTCTACATTTTCCTTGAAATTATAACATATAGCAAATTATAACATAAAAGCAGAGCCCTGGATTGGATGCTGACACCACCAGTGATTTTTTTTCTGTGATTGTAGGCAAGTGCTTGGTCCACACTGGGTTTTGGTTTCTCATTATACCCATCCCACAGAATTATGGTAAAATCTAAATGACATATTGTGGATAAGTTCCTAAGATAGTGCTTGAACATAGTAGGGGTTCCAGAAATGGTGATCCTTGCCCCTCGTCCAGTCATCTCTTTTCCTGTCTTCTGCAGGACTTCCTGATTTTTTTCTCCTTCCTGCCCTACAGGTTGGTTTCTTCAAACGTCAGTACAAGGAAATGATGGAGGAAGCAAATGGACAGACTGTCCCAGAAAATGGGACATCAGACCCCCAAGTTTCCCAATAAGAACTACCTTTTGTTCTTCTTTGGACCTTCTTTCTTCTGAGAAGTTTCCTGACCCTCCTGACCTTTTTCCTGAGATCCTGACATACATATTCCACATGATGGGGCTAGGATCAGGCTGCGTTCTCCCTTTGAGGAAATACAGCGTGTTTGTACGAAGAACCTTGCCTGGGAAAGGCCATTTGTCATGTTAAGGCTCCATCTGGAAACCCCATGACAGGATTCCTGCCATGCCTTCTGGTTGCCTTCACTTGGAATTTCTACCTAGAAATACATGGGCAAAAGCCTCAAGCTCCAATTTCCCTTCCTTTACTAGCCACCAATGATCTTTCTAAAACACAGTATTCATCCAGCTTGTTACAGAATAACATCTGAACTCTCCAACTTGATGTCTGGAATCCAGTTCCACTTCCAAAGGTGGGCCTCAATGCACATGTCATGAGTTGCTCTATGCCTCCCTATCATCCTCATTTCTAGTAAAATACTGTCAATATCAGCTCTTAACTTTATATTGAGGATTTTAGTCCAAATATCCCAAAGAGAATTGGGAATATCTTACACTGGAATTGTAAACTTAGCTTACTACCATTGATTAGCATTGCTGGCTGGGAAAGAGGAGTGGAACTCCAGTGCCAGTTGGACTCAACAAGCTCCAGGGTCTTTCAGAGACCAAGAGGCTCAGGCCACTTTCTTTTTTAAAGATACAACTTTCAGTTTATTTAGGCTATGTTTAAATGACAAGATACAATATAGTTTTCTAAAAACACTTGTTCTTATTTTAAAATGTATTTCTACATATATATGTATGTGTGTGCATGCATATATGTATGTGTTTATCTAATACTGATATCATTTTAACGTCCATTATTTGCTTGTTGTTGATAGAAGTTGCTTCATTGTGTTTTCAAACCCAAGAGTTTCTTAGAGACTGTCACAGATCCTAGAATTTCTGCTTTGTGTCTTTTTTTTGGTATCATTAATATACAATTACATGAGCAACATTGTGGTTATTAGAACCCCTCCTTCACCAAGTCCCCCCAACATACCCTATTACACTCACTGTCCATCAGTGTAGTAAGATGCTACAGAGTCACTACTTGTCTTCTCTGTGCTATACTGCCTTCCTCCACTTTTATTTTTGAGATTCCAAATACAGTGAATGGAAAAATGCCTTACATGGTTATACTGTGTATTTTAAAAGTTTGCATTAACAAATTAGTACAAAAAGATGTATATACCTTTACTGGGAAATATGTCAAAAATCTAAAATTAAAGCCTTTTGTGGACATGAGTCTTGGAAATGGCACCTCTGGTGTCCCCTAACCATCGTGGATCTTGACCAGGCCCGAGGCCAGGACAAGGTGGTTAAACAGAATGGAGGTTATGAACATCCCTATAGTGGGGATAAAATGACCTCTTAACATATTAAAATTTTATTCTCAAGGCTTTCACTAATAAGAAGCTGATGGGGCTATATGGGGACAAGAAGAAGGACAGCCCTCAATAGCTGCTTGCCAAGCTGGGTAAACCAATACACAGATTTTCTTAGAAATCTTGGGAGGTGTTGAAGGGGCCATTATTTGCATATAGTTAGTGATTGGAGAGCAGTTTGAAGTCCCATATCAGGGTTCTGCTGCCTCCATACGCACCCAGTAAGGTCATTATTATTTTGCCATCCATCTCAGCATAAAGCGGAAAGTGGTACCTGGCATTGAGCTGAGAGTCAACACATAGCAGGCCATTCCCTTCCCTTTAGTGATCTCACTGCTGTTGCCACCTCCAAAGTGCTCAAGCCATGTGGATGATTTAATTAAGAAGAAGGGGGAGGCAGTTGATCATGTGATCTGACGGGAAACTGGAAATTGACTCTTCATCTTTGCCCCTAATTATCTCCCCTATCCACCACCACAAAGTCCAAAATTCCTTTGAATTTTGAAGCTTTGGTCTCCAGAAAGACCAATGATTGTTCAATAGACTCAAGGAAGGCTTCAGATTAGACTTTGTAAGAATCTGCTTTAGAACATTGTTTCTCAAAATGTGTTTCACGAACCACTGGTGGTCTCCTAAGTGCTAAGTTTTAGTGAAAAAGAAAAATAGCAAGAAACTATTTTAAACCTGTATATCTCACACATTTTAAACTTGTGACTTTCACAGAATCCTGCTGTATCTTTAGTTATTGTGTTCTTTAAGGTTGTCCATGAACTCCAGAGACTGCAGTGGGCGCCTGTCTAACATGCAGGCAACAGGTGCTGTTTTCATATAATTTCCCTTTGTGTGTTATTGGTTATATTATATTTGCATTTCTGGGTTTGCTATTTTGTTGTATTATATTCCTAAATTTAAAAAATAGATGAATGGTTCAAAAAAAATTGAAAAATTATGAAAGTTGTGATTAAAATAATAAAATAATTGTTGCAATTTAGAATAATGTCATCTAAATCAATATTGAATATGGTTATAGTGTGCATTTAGGATAGAGTTGTAAAGGCTGGGATAAGTGATTGTGAGTCAAAAAAACTAAGATATATTGAAAAATCTAAGATATATAGAAAATATGATGCCATCAGAAAATTGGATTTTTTGGGTTCAGCTATTTGTTCCTAGGCTGTTGTCCATAAAGAAACTTTGTCAAATAATGGCACAGAGCTGTCAAACCTTTTGTGCAACTTTCAAACAAAGTATAATAATGTTTCAGACATCTTAGAAAAACTGCAACATATTATTTTCCCATCTAAAATTAATTTTATCATTAAATATAGAGAAGACAGCAAAATGACTCTCCACTTTTGCACATCTTTAACATTATTCATAAAAAAATTTTTGTTAAAAATCTGTTTCTCTTTGACTCCCTGTGGTCCTAGTTCTGTATTCTAGAACAATGATGTCCAAATTATAGCCCACCACCAATTTTTTAAATCATTAATCTAAAATTACAAAAAGAACATTATGTTTACTAGACTCTCACCATCACCAAGACCTCCTCACAAACCCCATTACAGTCACTGTCCATAAGCATAGTAAGATGCTGTGAACTCACTACTTGTCTTCTCTGTGTTGCACAGCCCTCCCTGTGTCCCCCATGCACTATACATGCTAATCGTAATGCCCTTTTTCTTTTTCCCTGCCCTTATGCCTCCCTTCCCATCCATCCTCCCCAGTCCCTTTCCCTTTGGTAACTGTTAGTCCATTCTTGGGTTCTGTGAGTCTGCTGCTGTTTTGTTCTTTCAGTTTTTGCTTTGTTCTTTTACTCCACATATGAGTGAAATCATTTGGTACTCTGCCTGGCTTATTTCACTGAGCATAATACCTTCTAGCTCCATCCATGTTGTTGTGAATGGCAGGATCTGTTTTTTTCTTATGGCTGAGTAATATTCCATTGTGTATATGTACCACATCTTCTTTATCCATTCATCTACTGATGGACATTTAGGTTGCTTCCATTTCTTGGCTATTGTAAATAATGCTGCAATAAACATATGTCTTTTTCAAACTGGGCTGCTGCATTCTTAGGGTAAATTCCTAGGAGTGGAATTCCTGGCTCAAATGGTATTTCTATTTTGAGCTTTCTGAGGAACCTTCATACTGCTTTCCACAATAGTTGAACTAATTTACATTCCCACCAGCAGTGTAGGAGGGTTCCCCTTTCTCCACAACCTCGCCAACATTTGTTGTTGTTTGTCTTTTGGGTAGCAGTGATCCTTACTGGTGTGAGGTAATATCTCATTGTGGTTTTAATTTGCATTTCTCTGATGATTAGCAATGTGGAGCATCTTTTCAGGTGTCTGTTGGCCATCTGAATTTCTTCTTTGGAGAAGTGTCTGTTCAGATCCTGTGCCCATTCTTTAATTGGATTATTTGCTTTTTGTTTGTTGAGGTGTGTGAGCTCTTTATATATTTTGTATGTCAACCCTTTATCAGATCTGTCATTTATGAATATATTCTCCCATACTGTAGGATGCCTTTTTGTTCTATTAGTGGTGTCCTTTGCTGTACAGAAGCTTTTCAGCTTGATATAGTCCCACTTGTTCATTTTTGCTTCTGTTTCCCTTGCCTGGGGAGATATGTTCATGAAGAAGTTGCTCATGTTTATGTCCAAGAGATTTTGCCTATGTTTTTTTCTAAGAGTTTTATGGTTTCATGACTTACATTCAGGTGTTTGATCCATTTCAAATTTACTTTTGTGTATGGGATTAGACAATAATCCAGTTTCCTTCTCTTCCATGTAGCTGTCCAGTTTTGCCAACAGCAACTGTTGAAGAGGTTATCATTTCCCCATTGTATGTCCATGACTCCTTTATCGTATATTAAATGACCATATATGTTTGGGTTAATATTTGGAGTCTATTCTGTTCCACTGGTCTGTGGCTCTGTTCTTGTGCCAGTACCAAATTGCCTTGATTACTGTGTGGCTTTGTAGTACAGCTTGAAGTAGGGAAGCAATATCAACACTTTATTCTTCCTTCTCAGGGTTGCTTTGGCTATTTGGGGTCTTTGGTGGTTCCATATGAATTTTAGAAATATTTGTTCAGTTCATTGAAGAATGCTGTTGGTATTTTGATAGGGATTGCATTGAATCTGCAGATTGCTTTAGGCAGGATGGCCATTTTGACAACATTAATTCTTTCTAGCCAAGAGCATGGGATGAGTTTCCATTTGCTAGTGTCCTCTTTAATTTCCCTTAAGATTGTTTCATAGTTTTCAGGGTATAGGTCTTTCACTTCCTTGGTTAGGTTTATTCCTAGGTATTATATTTTTTTTGATGCAATTGTGAATGGAATTGTTTTCCTGATTTCTCTTTCTGCTAGTTCATCATCAGTGTATAGGCAAGCAGCAGACTTCTGTGTATTAATTTTGTATCCTGCAACTTTGCTGAATTCACATATTAGTTCTAGTAGTTTTGGAGTGAACTCTTTAGGGTTTTTTATGTACAATATCATGTCATCTGCAAAGAGTGACAGTTTGACTTCTTCTTTACCAATCTGGATTCCTTGCATTTCTTTGTTTTGTCTGATTGCCGTGGCTAGGACCTCCAGTATTATGTTAACAGTGGGGGAGAGTGGGCATCCCTGTCTTGTTCCTGATCTTAGAGAAAAAGCCTTCAGCTTCTCGCTGTTCAATATGATGTTAGCTGTGGGTTTATCATATATGGCCTTTATTATGTTGAGGTATTTGCCCTCTCTACCCATTTTGTTGAGAGTTTTTATTATGAATGGATGCTGAATTTTTTTGAATGCTTTCTCAGCGTCTATGGAAATGATCATGTGCTTCTTGTCCTTCTTTTGTTGATGTGGTGGATGATGTGGAAGGATTTTTGAAAGTTGTAACATCCTTGCATCCCTGAGATGAATCCCACTTGGTCATGGTACATGATCATCTTGATGTACTTTTGAATTTGGTTTGCTAATATTTTGTTGAGTATTTTTGCATTGATGTTCATCAGCCCACCACCAATTTTTATAAATAAAGTTGCATTGGAACACAGCCATGCTCATTTGTATACATATAGTTAATGGCTGCTTTCACTTCGTGAACGCAGAGTTGAGCAGATGTGACAGACACTGTATGGCCCACAAAACTGAAATATTTACTCTCCTGCCCTTTATAAGAAAAACTATGCCAGGGATGGCGGAAAAGACGGCAAGACAGAAACCCCTCCCCTCCACACACCAAGGAAGCACCTAAAGCAAATACAACTAACCCTGAAGATGACCTGAAGATGGCTAAACAGGCCATCTACACCTGGGGGAGAAGAGAAGACCTCACAGAGAAGGGTGAAGTGTCAGAGCTGTGATCGATCGGGACCCAAGCCCTTTCCCCATATCAGCTGATGAGTAGGAGGGAGAGGAACAGAGTGGGAAGCGGATAAGTGCTCAGGAACTCTCCACACCTGGCCCTGGAGATCTGCTCTGGGAACACGAGTCCACATTGCACTAGGCTTTGGTGGTTAATGGGACTGGATGCCAGAGAAAGTCACAGCACTCTGAGAGGCTGAGACTCCAGCTTCCTCTATCTCCTTCCACACAGCCACCTGGTTCAGCTCCACAGGCACTGAGAAGTAGATGCTGACAGGCAGGACCCTCTGTCCCAGGTTGTTCACCTGTACACAGGGCAGTGAAAGCAAAGACCACACAAAACCCCACATCCCTCATCCCAATCTCTGGTTCCTGGGCCCTGCCATCCCCAGCCCATGCTCTTGAGTCCCCATCATTTGCCTGGTATCTATGCTGGGCCATGCTGCTTTCTTCTCCCTCTGAGTCTGAGAAGTTGAGGTACCTGGTGGATTGTTCATGGCTGGGGAGAAAAGAGGCATGGGTAGATTTGAAATTCCACAGGGGCCTCTTGAGAAGGCTCTGGCTGGAAGCATGACAGAATAAGTGGTCAGTGGGGACTCGGGGTGGCCTGGAATGAGATATGTAGCTAACTTGGGGTAATAAGAGGATTTAGAGAGCAGGGCTGGGCATCAAGCTGGATGTAAGGTATTTATAGAAGCTGCCCACAGAGGAAACTTCCAAGAATGCTGGACTGGTGACTGAGAGCTCTGCCGCTGACTCTTTGGGTGAGCAGGGGCCAGGGCCTGTCCCTCTCTGTGCCTCAGTTTTCCTTTCAAGCCTTCATGGGCACGGAGGATGCTGGATGGGCACATAGGACAGGCAAAGGTTTGGGGAGACTCAGGCTGTTGCTGAATGTCTACTGGACACGGCTGCTGTCTGACTTCTCACAGGCCTTTCCTTGTGCCATTCCCTTCTATGTCCTTGGTTTTTCTGGGCCTAGGGCTTTGAAGTGAAGGAGGGTCCAACAGCAGACTCTTCACTGGGTCTCAGTGTAACAAGGCCTCCTGAGGCCTGCCTAGGCCTATACCTGGACACCCAGTGGCCAGCCTTCCCCTCCCTGCTCCACTCCATGTGTACCTGTCCTTTGCCTGCACAATCCAAATTCTAGAACACCACTTCTACTCTGAAGTCTTATCCCTCCTCTGCAAGAGGCTCCACCAAAATGCCCTGGGGTCTGCTCTGAGTACCCCCACCCAAAGAGTCACATTTGATTAGCACAGCTCCGTGGGGGACCACAAATGCGTAGATATGGTATGCCCTGGCCATTGGTTCTCTGTAAGGAGGAGTGACACCAGTGAACACTCCAGCAAGAGAGCTTAGAGCATGTACCTGACCAGCCTGCTGGGAGCACCCAAGGGGCAGGTATGAAGGAGAGTGTGAAACTCTGGGCATGAAGAAGACATCCAATGAAGCAAGTAGGTGAAACTGGCAGGGGAATGTACCCAAGCTAAGCCTCACAGGCCCGCCATACATCACGAGTTCACATACCCAGCAGACACAAGGGTTTTGATTAGACATAATAGAGGCTCAATTAACCTTTGAGTATCAAGTGAATTTATGGAAAGCATCCACAGTTAGGTGTCTGGAACAAAACAAATGCTAGGAAGATATTTGTTGAAAGAAAATATCTACTCAAACACTTGACTTAACTGAATTTCAAACACCTCCTCTGTTCCTCCATAGCAGCATTTTAAGGCCTTTTCCTTTTTTCCAGTATTTCTGACACCCAGCCTCTGCAGCAAACAGGTCCCTATACTACAGGACTTATCCTTCCCAAAGGGGACTAGGAAAAGGAGAAGTGGTTCTACAAGCCCTGTAGAGGTAGTGGTTCTAAGAGTAAGGTGTAAATCTGTTCCTTACAAAGAACAGCTGTCTCACCCAAAGGCTAAAGGCCCTTTGAGAATCACTGTTGGACTTTATACATTTAGCTGATGAGCTTATACATTTTAGCTTGACAGAAGGCCCTAGTCACTTTCAGAAATTCACATAGCCTCAGGGTACAGAACCACAGAAAGGCCCTTGATGAGATTCTGCCTTGGATTGGGGTAACCTCCCTCCCCAGTAAGGCTGTAAGACCATTAAGACAGACATATCTCAGTATTTCTTAGGGAACCCAGGAGAATCTTGGTGCTTTTGAGAAAGCCTTCTGAGAACTGTAACCTTTATTAAATGTATGATGTAATGGTAATAATATCACAATTGTTACCTCAGCTAGCCCAAAATAAACATTCAATGATGGATTAGTAAGTGCTGCTAACAATATCATCTACCAATTGAAAGATAGGTGATAAAACCTAAATTGCCCAGTTGTTCAGCTGCTACAAGGAGTGAAACCCTTTTGAGGTTGTGGTGTAGCACCTGCTGATCACAGTGTAGACAGCATACTTCACCGGGAGCTCTAGTTGGAAGGTAGTCTTGCTGGTCCTGGGAGTGTTATTCTCACTGGGGAAAGAGGAAGAGCCCAGTTGGAGGAGGCTGGGGGCATAGAGATGTTGCCCCCAGTCTGGTCCAGCTCACCTGCTCACATTGGCCATCAGATGCAGCCGGTCTCCCAGATTAGCCTTTGAAGAGACATCAAAGGTGGCTGTAAAGATGATCTGAGAAAGAGGAAGGGATCAGAGAGATCACTGAGGAGTGAGTCAGGTTGGGGACAGGGCATAGGGGGTGGGCAGAAGCAAGGCTGACCTGATCACCCTGGTGGAAAATGAGGTAGTTGATGCTACAGCAGGTGCTCAGTGTGCCCTGGTCTCTGGCTGGGGCACCGTCACAGGTCAGACGTGGGGAGCGAGCCTGCAGCTGATTCTAGGCAAAGGTAGGTAAAAAAAAAAAAAAAGGCAGGTAGGAAATTATTAGTGTTCCAAAGAGATTCCATCAAATAGTGACAGTTTTCTGCAATCTACCTTAAGGTTATGTTTTTTTGAAATCCTTAGATATTATCTAGTCAAATTCTTCCTAATATGGAAACAAGATTCATAAGAATTTCCCCCTTTTTTATTTATTACTCTTTTTAAAAGGCTTTATATTATGGAAATTATTATGCAAATTTTCAAACATACTCAAAAGTAGACAGACTAGATAAATCAACAACCGTGTACCCATAACTCAGCTTAAATTACTGACATTTTTCTACTGTTGTTTCATTCAGCTATTCTCCACTTTTTTTTCTCAATAACTTAAGCTCATTCTGAACATCATATCATTTCATTCCAAAATACTTCAGTGTATACTACCCAGAGATAAGGGCACTTTTTAACATAACCAAAAGACTCAAGAAATTACACCCAACAAAATTAACATTAACTCTTTAATATTAGCTAATATCCAAGTCATGTTCAATATTCCTAGATTGTCTCCTAAAATGTAATTTTACACCTCATTTTTTAAAAATCAATATCCAACAAAGGTCTACATATTGCATTTGATTTGGTTAAGGTGTCTAGCAGTACTTTCAGTGACAGGGCACTCACCCCTCATGCAGCTGGAGCTTGCCATTCCTAGCCCATTCCTTCTGCTCCCATTTGGAACAGTAATAACCTAACAGACACAGGAGACCAACCATCCAAATGCCATGTGTGGACCTAGTTTAGATACTGGTTCAAATAAACCAAGTATAAAAAGATATTTTTGAAGCAAGTAAGGAAATTTGATTACGGTTTAAATACCAAGAATTCATACATTTCTTTGGGTGTGAGAAATAATAACACTGCAGTCATAAAAGAAGCCCTCACCGTCTAGAACTATAGAGTAAAACAGGGAGGAACACAATAACATTAAGTTACACATTTAAAATACTTCAGCTAAAGGAAAAAAAAACAGATGAAATGAATGTGGTGAAATGTTGATAATTGTTAAACATGGGTGATAAATATTGGGGAACTTTATTGAACTACTTTATTTTTGCAAATGTTTAACATTTTTCATAATAAAATTTTTGTTAAAAATATGTTTCTCTTTGACTCCCTGTGCTCCTAGTTTTGTCTTCTACAACAAGGATGTCCAAATGAGAGCCCACCACCAATTTTTATAAATAAAGTTGCATTGGAACACAGCCATGCTCATTTGTATACATATAGTCAATGGCTGCTTTCACTTCGTGAAAGCAGAGTTGAGCAGATGTGACAGACACTGTATGGCCCACAAAACTGAAATATTTACTCTCCTGCCCTTTATAAGAAAAACTATGCCAGGGATGGCGGAAAAGACGGCAAGACAGAAACCCCTCCCCTCCACACACCAAGGAAGCACCTAAAGCAAATACAACTAACCCTGAAGATGACCTGAAGATGGCTAAACAGGCCATCTACACCTGGGGGAGAAGAGAAGACCTCACAGAGAAGGGTGAAGTGTCAGAGCTGTGATCGATCGGGACCCAAGCCCTTTCCCCATATCAGCTGATGAGTAGGAGGGAGAGGAACAGAGTGGGAAGCGGATAAGTGCTCAGGAACTCTCCACACCTGGCCCTGGAGATCTGCTCTGGGAACACGAGTCCACATTGCACTAGGCTTTGGTGGTTAATGGGACTGGATGCCAGAGAAAGTCACAGCACTCTGAGAGGCTGAGACTCCAGCTGCTTGTGGAGGACAGGCATGCTCAGGTGATCCCACTGAGACCCACCACAGAGGTGGCAGTTTGAAAGATTTATCAGCAGTGGGAAGGATGCCAGAGAGACGAGCATTAGATAGAGCTCTCTCTGGAGGAGAAAGGGCAGGTGGACCAAGCTTCCCCAGCCCTCCCTCACCCCAACTGGTCAGGTGCTTGTGGAAGCCCCAGATGCTCCATCCTCCTTGCTGGTGGCTCAGTCCTGAGATGCTTCCCTGCACACCCACCAGTCCATCCAGCACCCTTGGTGAAGCAGCAGTCAGACTTTGCTGCCTTTTCAGGCAGAGGGAGCCAACTCCAAATGCTCAGTCCTCCTTGCTGGTGGTCCAGCCCCATGCCATGCTCTACTGCACACCTGCCCATCCTACCCAGACAGCCCAGCAGCACCTCCATAGCTACAGGGCAGGTAAAGGGCAGGCCCCACCCACAATGATCCTAGCACTAGTGCCACTGCTTGGCTCACAAAGGGCCTCTGCTGACAGAGATCAGCCACTGCTGACAGCAGAAAGGCAGCTCCACCCATAGCCCACCAACAGCAAGTAGAGCTCCACCTCAAAGGAGAACCAGGCACTGGTGAGTAAAGAATCGAGCTTCTGGGCCCCACGGGACACCTTCTTCATAAAGCCATTGCTCTCTAATTCAGGAGCATAACAGATGTATCTAATACAAAGAAACACAGAAACACAGACAAAGGAGGCAGAGGAACATGTTCCAAACAAAAGTACAGGGTAAGACACCAGAAAGAGGGCTAAATGAAACAGAGATCACCAATCTTCTTGATAAAGATTTCAAAGTAACAGTCATAAATATGCTCACTGATCTTCAGAAAAGTGTTGATGATCTCAGGGAGGACTTCAACAAGAGACAGTAGAGTTGAAAAAGGGCCACTCAGAACTGAATAATACAGTTAACTGAAATGAAAAATACAATGGAGGGAATGATTAATAGATTGCTGTAAGTAGAGGAGACAAAGAGATGGAAATCAGAAAATAGGAAAACAATGCAGCCGAGGAACAGAGAGAAAAAAGAATCTCTAGAAACAAGAGGATGTTAAGAGAGCTATATAACAGCTCCAAATGAAAAAATATTTTGCATAATAGGGTCCCAGAAGGAGAAGAGAGAGACAAAGGAGTAGAAAGTCCCTTTGAAGAAATAGTTGCTGAAAACTTCCCCAACCTGGGGAGGGACATAGACACCCAGATCCTGGAAGTACAGAAAGCCCCTAACAAAAGGAACCCAAGGAAGACAACACGAAGGCCTAACAATTAAAATGACAAAGATTAAGGATAAAGAGAGGGTGTTGAAAGCAGCTCGAAAGAGGTAAAAAAATTACTTTTAAGGGAAACTCCATCGAGGTCTCAGCAGACTTCTCAGCAGAAACTTTACAGACCAGAAGGGAGTGGCATGAAATACTTAATGTATTGAAACAAAAGGATTTTCAACCAGGAATCCTCTCCTCAACAAGGATATCATTTCAGAATTAAAGGTGAGATTAAAAGTTTCCCAGATAAATGAAAGTTAAAGGAATTCACCACCACTAAGCCAGCCTTACAGGATATGTTAACGGAACTTCTGCAGATGGAACTGTTCTTAAGCCTAAATAGATTTCACCAGTGAAAGTAAACACACAGTAAAGGTAGTAGACCAATTACATACCAAGCAAGTATGAAATTAAACAAAAATAGTAAAACAACTATACACCAAATCAGTCAAGGGATACACAAAAAAATTCAGATTATGACATCTAATACATAAAGTGTGGAGAAAGAAGAAGAAGAAGAAAAAACATACTTTCAGATTGTGTTTGAAATAGAGTGACCATCAAGATAATATAGACTACTCTATATCCAGGAAACTATTCATGAACCTTATAGTAACCACAAACCTAAAGCTATAATAGATACACAAAAATTAAGAAAAAGCAATCCAATCACAATACTAAAGAGAACCATCAAAGCACAAGAGTATAAGAGAGGAAGAAAGGAATAGAGAAGAACTACAAAAACAACCAGAAAACTGAAAATAAATTGGCAATAAGTATACATCTATCAATAACTACCTTACATGTAAATGGATTGAATGTACCAATCAAAAGACACAGGGTAGCAGAACTGATCAAGGAGATCCATCTATATGCTGCCTAGAAGAGACTCATTTCAGACCCAACGACAGACACAGACTGAAAATGAATGGATAGAAAAAGATACTTCATGCAAATAATAGGGAGAAATAAGCAGGAGTAGCAGTACTTATAGCAGACAAAACAGACTTCAAAACAAAGAAAGTAACAAGAGACAAAGGAGGACATGACATAATGATAAAGGAATCAGTCCAACAAGAGGATAATATAACAATTATAAATATCTATGCACCCAACTTGGGAGCACCTAGATATGTAAAACAGATAGTAACAGAACTAAGGGAGAAATAGGCAGCAGCTCAATCATATTTAGGAAAGCTTAATACACCACTTACACCAATGGACAGATCATCTAGACAGAAAATAAGGAACCAGAGGCACTGAATGACACATTAGACCAGATGGACTTAACAGATATATACAGAATGTTCCACCCAAAAGCAGCAGGATACACATTTTTCTCAAGTGCACAGGGAATGTTTGCCAGAATAGGTCACATCCTAGGCCACAAAGAGAGCCCCATAATTTCAAAAAGACTGAAATTGTATTAAGCAACTTCTTACACCGCAATGGAATGAAACCAGAAATAAAGCACATGAAGATAACAAAGGAACCCCAAACACATGGAAGCTAAACAACATGCTTCTAAATAATCAATGAATCAATGAACAAATCAAAGTAGAAACCAAACAATATGTGGAGACAAATTAAAACAAAAACACAACAGTTCAAATTTTGTAGGATGCCACAAAGGAAGTTCTAAGAGGGAACCACTGAGAACACATCAGTACAGGCCTAACTCAAGAAACAAGAACAATCTCAAATAAACAGCCTAAACTCACAACTAAAGAAACTACAAAAAGAAGAACAAATGAAACCCAAGGTTAATAGAAGGAGAGACATAATAAGATCATAGCAGAAGTAATTAAATAGAGAGAAAAACAATAAAAAAAATAACAAAACCAAGAGCTGGTTCTTTGAGAAGATAAACAAAACATCAGACCCCCAGGCAGACTCATCTAAGCAAATAAAAAGCTAGAGGGCACAATAAACAAAATCAGAAACAAAAAAGGAATAATCAGGCCTGACACCACAGAAATACAAAGAATTATTAGAGAATTCAATGAAAAATTATATGCCAATAAATTGGGCAACCTAGAAGAAATGGAAAAATTCCTAGAAAAGTACA